TATGTAGAACTGCTCCTGTGAGATGCATTGCTCTGGGAAGTAGCACAGCCCTACAGATAGCACTTCCGTGCATTTCTCTATGTAGAACTGCTCCTGTGAGATGCATTGCTCTGGGAAGTAGCACAGCCCTACAGATAGCACTTCCGTGCATTGCTTTATGTAGAACTGCTCCTGGGAGATACATTGCTCTGGGAAGTAGCACAGCCCTACAGATAGCACTTCCGTGCATTGCTTTATGTAGAACTGCTCCTGGGAGATGCATTGCTCTGGGAAGTAGCACAGCCCTACAGATAGCACTTCCGTGCATTGCTTTATGTAGAACTGCTCCTGTGAGATACATTGCTCTGGGAAGTAGCACAGTCCTACAGATAGCACTTCCGTGCATTTCTCTATGTAGAACTGCTCCTGTGAGATGCATTGCTCTGGGAAGTAGCACAGCCCTACAGATAGCACTTCCGTGCATTGCTTTATGTAGAACTGCTCCTGGGAGATGCATTGCTCTGGGAAGTAGCACAGTCCTACAGATAGCACTTCCGTGCATTGCTTTATGTAGAACTGCTCCTGGGAGATGCATTGCTCTGGGAAGTAGCACAGCCCTACAGATAGCACTTCCGTGCATTGCTTTATGTAGAACTGCTCCTGTGAGATACATTGCTCTCGGAAGTAGCACAACCCTACAGATAGCACTTCCATGCATTTCTTTATGTAGAACTGCTCCCTGTGCTGTTATAAATATGGTAACCATATTTTTTGAACCAAAATTAGGGGCACATTAATCACGGCCCCCCTTAGCCATGCCTCTGACCCCCTGAAACCATCACCACCACCACCCTGCTAGCCATACTCCCTGCCACAAGAATTCACAGCCCTTGAGGTAGTACTGTCGGGGTCAAGATGGACACATGACAAGAAGTAAAGGGTGTCTGTGACCCCTCTAAGAATTCTTCCCACTGTCCTCCTACCACTAAGGATGGGTTTGGCTGTTACAGGATCCCTCATGCAACCATCCTACAATTGCATTAACCCAATTTTCATTGCATTAATTTGAGGTGCGGGGAGAGGTTAAAGGAAGTGTTTGTTCCCTCTAAAATTTTCCTCCCATGAGCAGAGTGAATTTTGTCTTGTGCACTACTATTGAGTTCATGTTCATTTGTTTGGACGTGTGCCACTGTGGCACACAAGTTATTAATAAGTATCTTATAAACCTCTCCCTTTTCCCTTTGATGCCATGTTTGATGCCCCTTCTCTATCCCCATCTGCTCCCCTGGTGCCTGATGTCCCCACTCCTCACCCTCCTCTGCTGTCCTGACTCCTGCCCTTCTCACTCTCCTCAGCCCTCCTGAGACCTGTCCCCCTGCCCCGAACCTGCTCTTCTCTTCCCCCAGTGCGCACTCCTCTAGCCCCACTCTGGGCATCTGTTGCTCCCTCTCTCCTCTGGTGCCCGTCCCTCCCCTCCACATGTCTGCCCTTGTGCTTCACCTCCAGAATCCCCTGGCACCTGCACCTTCCCTTACCCCTGCATCTTCCTGGTGTCTCCCCCTTCCCTGACTGCCCCTGCCCTCCTTGCCCACTCCCTCACCACCTTTGCCCCAGTTTTCCTCACGTCCCTCTGTGTCCTCACACATGACTTGCTCCATCCCCTGCCTTCCTCATGTCCACCCCTCCTTTCAATGCTTTTTCTCCCTCCTCCCCTCTCCTCTTCAGCCCTCTTTCCCCCATTGTCCTTCCCCTTTCCTCTCCCAGCTTCACCCTGTCCCCTCCCATCCTTTTCCTCATTGTCTTCTCTTGGCCCCCTGGCATTTCTCTGTCCTCCACCCTGCCCCTTGGTTTCTGCCCCTTTTTTCTCCTGCCTTGCCCCCCTCCCTTCAACACAAACCTCTTCCTCTCCCTGCCCCCCTTCTCTCACCTTCTGCCTTCCAGGTTGTGGAGCTGGAGCCTGCGGTCTGGCCCCAGAAGGCCCCAGCTGTTCCCGGGGTGGTAATATTTCCCGCAGTATTATTTTAGTGCCGCAGTCCAATCCCTGTGGGTGGTCCCAGCTCCAGCTGGAGTCAAGTGGCAGCCAGGCAAGGTACATCCTGCTGAGCCCTGGCTGGAACATGCTCTGTGGGGCTGGGGCTGCCTGCCGTGCTATTTTTAGTGCTGCAGTCCAGTCCCCACAGGCGGCCCTGACTCCAGCTGGAGTCACGCAGCATTTGCGCGAGGTGCATTCCAGCTGGGGCAGCCTCACTGGAACGTGCCTCTTGCCAGCTGCCACTTAACTTCAGCTTGGTCTGGATTGCCCACAGGGATCCGGACTGCAGCACCTTGGGCAGCCCCACTTCCAGTCCTGGCACCTGCTGAGCTTAGCGTGCCTTGCCCCACAGCGCCCCAGCCAGGCTTCGTGTGGCTCCCGCTGGACTCCAAGGCGGCCTGGAGGAGAAGGAGGCAGGGCTGCCAGATCAGGTCCCTGCATGGCAGAGGCAGTCCCACAAGGGGAGGCAGGGGAGAGAGAGAGGAAGGGACCAGGAGGAAGCCGATCCAGCTGCCCTACGTGCCCTGGTGCAGGGGAGGCGGAAGAGGCTGGGGCACTGCACCAGTGTCCCATCAAGTAGTGAAATGTCTGGTAGGGCTTTCTGGGACATTTCATTACTTGATGGGACACCAGTACAGAGCATTTAAATTCAGGACAATCCTGGAAAAAAGGGGACACGTGGTCAGCATAATTCTAAGACATTGCTACTGAAGTAGTACAGTTCTACAGGGAGCAGTTACGTAGTCAAGTGTAAAAAAAACTGCTATTGTAAAACACTAATTTGTTACCAGATCTAGCAAATTTGTGTAGGCCCAGTGATTGTGGTCATATTTCAGACTTTTCTCCCAGTGTGCCAGTTGAGGATTAATCAGCATGGAGTACAGCACACAAATTACTTCTTGTGTCTTGCTTACAACACTGAGGTTTGCTTTTTTTGTAGGAGCTTTACGCTGTTGAATTGTATTTAGCTTGTGGTCCAAAGCACTTGCAAACCCCTCCCAATGTGTTATTTACAGCAGTGGGCTCCAAACTTTTTTGATCGCGCACCCCTATCAGTAAAAACTTTCTGAGCATGCACCCCCAATATATGTATATTTATTTATATATTTTTAAATTTACTCTTTGACCCCCATTAGCCACACCCCCTGACTCCCATTAGCCAGGCCTCAGGAGGTAACACTCTCAGGGCAAAATGGACACATGACCAGAAGTAAAAGGTGTCATGTGACTCCTCTCTAAGGACTTTTCCCACCATCCTCCTACCAACAGGGATTAGTTTGGCCCCCACCAAACCCCCTCATGCAACTAACCTGCAATTGCATTAACCCAATGTGTGTGATATTAACTCGGGGGCGGAGAGGCTGGGGGAAGTGTTCCCTTGGTTTCCTCCCATGAGCAGAATGAATTTTGTGTTGTGCACCAGTACTGAGTTCATGTGGCTTGTGTGGATGTGCCACTGTGGCACCCAAGCTATTAATAAATATTGTATAAACCTCTCCCTTTCCCCTCTGCTGCCATGTCTCCTCCCCTTGTTCCATCAGCTCCCCTGATGCCTGTGCCCCCAACCCCTCACCCTCCTCTGCTGTCCTGACTCCTGCCCTTCTCACTGCCCTCAGCCCTCCTGCGACCTGCCCCCCTCCACCAGCCCTTCTCTCCTCCAGTGCAGCCATTCTGGTCATGTGAGCTACCCCTCCTCATCCCCTCTCCTAACACCTCCCACTACACACCTGCCCTGCCTCTCTCCACTGGTGCTGGTTCCTCTCCTGCAGGCGTCTGCCCTTCTGTTTCACCCCTAGAATCCCCTGGCACCTGCACCTTCCCTTACCCCTGCACCCTCCTGGTGCCTCTGCCCACCCCCTCACCACTCTCTCTTCCCCTATTCCCCTCATGCCCCTGTGCCCTCACACATGACTTGCTCCATCTCCGGCTTCCTCATGCCCACCCCTTCTTTCAAGCCTTATCCCAGCACCTGCCCCTCCCGCCTCTAGCCCCCAGTGCCCTTTCTCTCTCCTCTCCCAGCATCACCCTGTCCCCTCCTCCTACTGACACCTCCCCTCCTGCGCTTTTCCTCATTGGCTACACTTGGCCCCCTGGCATTTCTCTCCTCCACGCTGTCCCTGGGTGCCTTCCCCTTTCTTCTCCTGACCTGTCCCCCTCCCCTCAGCACAAGCCCCTTCCTCTCCCACCCCTTCCCCCTATTTTTCCTGCACCCCTACCCCCTCCCTTCCAGTTTGAGTCTGTGATTGGGCCTGGCCGCAGCTGCTTCTGTGGCCCCAGACCACGTGCCGGGCCTGGAGCTGGGCTGCGCAGTTTGAAAGTCCTGGGCTGTGATGTCACAGCACGCCCAGGTGTCTCCCCTCTCAGCTGTTGCGCGGGGGTTTGAACACGCCGCGCATGCACTCCCTTGGCTGTCTTGCGAACCTGGCGTCTCCCCTCTCAGCTGTTGCGTGGTGGCATGCGTCCCTTCGGAGCATCTCACGCACCCCACTTTGGAGACCATTGATTTACAGCTTTTATAAGTGTACTGTCTAAGCAGTGGTGACTGGTGAGGGGGGATCTGGGTCCCCCAGTCCCTCTGTGTTAACTGTTATCTGTCTGCCCTGATTCCTGTGCCAGGGTTTTGACATTGTCACCCTCTGGCAACTTGCTGGTCAAGAGCTGCCTTTCATGCCCTCTAGTTAAGTGGGTAACAAATTCAGAGCAATGGGTTTAGACATGGACAATGGACACAAACACAGAAGTATTTATCTGATTTTAAAAGCTTTATTATTATAAGCTGATGTCAACCCAAAGGCTGCGTCTAGACTGCCTTTTTTTTGCGCAAATACTTTTAACGGAAAAGTTTTTCTATTAAAAGTATTTGTGCAAGAGAGCATCTATACTGGCATGTTCCTTTGCACAAAAGATTTTGTGCTTCTGTGCAAAAGCATCCATGCCAGTGTAGACGCTCTCTTGTGAAAGAAAGCTCCGATGGCCATTTTAGCCATCGGGCTTTCTTGCGCAAGATATTAACGTGGCTGTCTACACTGGCCCTCTTGCGAAAGAATACTTGAGCAGCCTGGAGGTGGTTCTCGGGAGACATGAATGGTCCTCAGCATTCGACCTTTCCATCACTCTGTGTTAGTAAGAGATCCTTGCTTTCAAATCCCCAACTGTACTGGCAATAGGATACTTCTAAGGCTGTGAGCTTTCTGTTTGGGCACAGAGTCTGGTGCCATAAGAACTCGTGAAATGACAGCAGTTGGCTAAACTGAGTGTGGACATAGGTTCAATGGGTTCCTTTCTTGTTGTGTTCCTGAAGTGGCAGATGGAGAGGAGACCAATGGTGGGAGGCTGCGGTGCGTTATAGGGGAGTAGAAGCGATGCCGCGTCCTTGCTGACTGACACCTCAATTGTTTGTTTGTTTTTTCCCCCTTT